GGGACAATGCATTAGGGATTCATTTGCTATTACTCTTCTTTGATCTGACAGATTACAGCTATGTGTCCTATTTGGAATTCACTCTAGCCTGTCACTTAATTCCCCTCATTTGCTTCAACTGGAGGATCGGTTACTGGTGCCCATGCTGTGAGAAGCTCATTTTCATTGCTTGCATTTACATATCCATGATATCACCAGTAACACAAACATGGTACTTTGCTAAATTACTAACTAATATCCTGTTAGATAAACAGGAAGGTCTATCTTCTTTCTAGGGTATCATAACAGCAAAGCTACAGAATTAATTACAATTTCATATTGTTTGTCAGCTCTGCTCCCAAAGCTGGTCCTACATCTGTAAGCAACTAAGTAAGGAGTAGGCTTAATATGAAATACATGAAAAACTCTGTCACCAGACTGTATTAGCAGTAGGCTATTATTATAATTTTTATTTATTTATTTACTCATTTATTTTACCAAGTACTTGAGTCTCCAAGGAAGAGCTCAGCCAAGATAAAGCAATAGCACAGTAACTGTTTAACAAACAAAACAACAGCCTACCAAAAGAAATTACAAATGACGTCCCTACCCAAACATGAAAACTCATAAATGTAATAACCATGTTGTGGCTATGTCCTCAGCAGCACGTCCCAGCGCTCCACCTCCCCTGAATACTGAGACCTCTTTGCAGTGTGGACTGCCATAACCATCTGCATAAATGCGTCCTGGTTTGTGTCAGTCTATATTAAATGGCCCATATCGTTCTCTGTTTTTCTCCATTTTTCTTGCATTTGATTTATTTTCCCCCTGAGGTCCACTTATAGTGTTTATGGTTTATGTACCAAAAACAGTCAGAATTATTTTTATATGACTATTTTCCATCTTTCTTTATCCTTTAGAATTAAAGAAGTTGATTTGGCTGTTGCCTAATCTCTGTTGTGATTGACTGCATTGTATTGGACCTCATTCAAAAAAGCAGCCCAGGCTGAAACACTCCTTATGACATCAACTAAACTGCTGTTGACTGAATTGGCAAATAATTATGAATGCGCTGGTTTTCATGACATCACAAAAGCAATTCAGTATGGGTTGTTTTTGCTGTTTCATTTGCATAAATGTATCATATGGACTGGAGAGTAAATTGTGCATTTAAAAAAAATGCTCAATCCTTTAAAAAAATGTATATGCACCCTTTTAAAAGGTATGAAAAAGCTTGTATTGTTATCTCTAATCTATGTGTCAACTTAGTCTGAAAATGTGTGCTTCTGTATTGGCCAAAGGGGATGCACTCACAACAAGTGAAATTTAGAACCTTAAGTATCAACATCACAGGCTAGTGTGTCTCTAACTGCAGCGTCATAAATGTTCTAGATGCCATCAAAAGCTTCTGATGTGTACCACATCAAAATCAAGTGTTTGGTTTGCCAAAAGGGTACACTTAGGAGCAGCTGCACTACAGCAAAAATATCCCTTAAAACCAGCAGAGCTCCTCCTTCACAGCCAATGAGCGATGCTTCCAAATTAATTGATAATTAAGCCCAACTCAGGGCAGCTCTCCAAGAGAACAGTATTAGCTGAACAGCGGGAGAGGGAGAGAACCTTCCCAAACCCACTTATTCATTTCCAAAACACATTCACTTTACATTATTTGTGATCTCCATAAAAAAAAAGCAGAATCCTGTTTTGTATTGTTACACTGATTGCACAAATAGAACTCATTCACTGAGCCAAGACATTGACTGTTATAATTTCTGCTGATTTAAACATATTGATTCTCTAATTGCAATTTCATATTACAATGCAACTAAATTTATTCTAAACTAAACTTGCATTGAAATTGATTTTTCTTAACAAAAACGTAATTATTTATTTTTTTAATTGATTGATTGATTATCCGAACATCTAATACAATAAGATTTATTATTTGGACATAACACACTGTATCTGTTGACATCAATTTTCCGTATAATATGGGTAGGGTTTTTTTTTTTTAAACATAGGTTGTAAGAATGGGTACATTTTTTGTCTAAGCTAATGACAAAATATTACTGCATGATGAACCCTTGAATAACTTTTAATGAATACACAATATGGCCAAAAGTATGTGGACAACTTGCCGTAACCCCTACACAAAGTTGTTAGACATCACAATGTTCCAAAACCATAGGCATTAATATGGAGTCGGGCCCCTCTTTGCCACTAAACAGCCTCCACTTTTCTGGGAAGGTTTTCCAGTTCAGTCAAAAGAGCATTTGTGAGGTCAGGCACTGATGCTGGATGAGAAAGCCTGGCTGGCAACTGAATTTTCTAGTTCATCCCAAATGTGTTCAGTGGGGTAAAGGTCAGAGCTCTGTACAGGCCACTGGAGTTCCTCCACAACAAACCCGACGTCAAATCATGTTTTTATGGACCTCACACAGTCATGCCAGAACAGGGAAGGGCCTTCCCCAAGCTGATGGAAAAAAGGTGGAAGCATCCACCTCTTCACCAAACTTTACTGTTGGCACTATGCATGCTGGTAGGTAGCGTTCCCCTGGCATCCACCACACCCAGATCTGTCTATCCAAGTGCCATGTAATGACGCATGATTCATCACTCCAGGGAACGTTTCCACTGCTCCAGAGTCCAGTGGTGGTGTGCTTTACACCACTCCAGCTGACGCTTGGCAGTGCGCCTACTGATGTTAGGCTTGTGTGCAGCTGCTTGACCATGAAAACCCATTTCATGAAGCTCTTAACTGCACAGTTCTAGTGCTAATGTTGCTTCTAGAGGCAGTTTGGAACTGTGTAGGGACAACAGAGGATACAAGATCCTAAGAACAGCTTGGCCAGTTTGCATTGAAATCCCTGTAGTTACTAAATAAGCCTTAGTATGTAACAAGCCTGGGATTTTAAAAGGGTAAGCACTGTGCGCTTCAGCACTTGGCAGCCCCGCTCTGTGAGTTTGGTAATCTATTGGTTTGTGGCTGAACTGTTGTTGCTGCTAGATGATTCTATTTCACAATAATAGCACTTCCAGTTGATGGGCAAATCTAGCAGGCAGAAATTTCACAGATTGACTTGCGGCAAAGGTGGCATTCTACGACAGCTCTTCAGTGCAGCTCAAACAGGGTTCGTCTATGGCTTTGTGCTTGATTTTATACACCTATTAGCAATGGGTGTGACAAACACCTGAACTTAATAGTTGGAGGAGTTTCCACACACTTGGCCTTATATTGCATAGTGCACTGTTAGTTTGAAATGTTACTATATCAAACTGTACTTCACACAATGAAAATCGTAATAGGGGAAAATGGCTTGTGAATTGACTCGCCATTAGAAGGTAATTGGGATCAAATTGTCAGTGTGTCATTAAGTTAGTCCCTTTGCACAATGAGTCAAAAGTTAAGATCAGATGAGCTGAATTTAAACCACCCAAAGGCAAGGACAGAGAGATCCACATGGGTCTACTACTGCAAGGCACATCCCTTTGAACTAATTTCAATGTTATAATACACAATAGAAACGAGGATGTGGTGAGTTTAAGTGCTTTAAAACGTATCAATGTGTCTGCAGTGAGGTGGATTAGACAAGAGTGTGTTAGACACATCAGGCAAAATTAATATCCTTATTATGGAGGCCCAAGTACAGCAACATTACCACCATCAGGACATAAAAGAATGGGGGGTGCGGGTGGGTTTTTAAGTGTTCTTGCTCTGTTTCACGTTTCATCTCGCATCCGAAGTCTCCTGTTCTGATGGGTTTTGATCTGCGCAGAGTGGAGCGACTGCGGCCTGTTTACCTGTGCGTGCGGGGGAGGCAGAGGGGCTGCTGGGAGTTGAGGAGGATTCTCCTGGCGCCTGCTGAGGCCCAGAACACGGCCTACAAAAGGGGGGGGAGGGAGCGCTTCAAAGCTCACCTTGGGAAAGCACTTATTCATTAAGCCAAACAAAACAATGCATACAGGAAACATTACCTCAAATTAAGTATGGCAACTAGTTTAATTAGACAGAAAATAAATAGATAGCAGGGAAAAAATGTCTATCCCTGGAATGTAATTTGGCTTTATTGGTGTGTTATCAGCGGTGCCCTGAGAGCTATGTTTCAGTAAGAAGCGCTCAATCTGAAATCTTCTTGTGGCTCACGCTGCGCTCCAGTTGCTTCAGGTCCTCTCTATCTTTCCTCATCTAACCACCAGCCTTGCAGAAATCTTCCACGCTGTGCAGAACCATAACACTTCATGCCACAGCCGCTTCCATCCTTCATGTAAATGGAATATTTCTTTGTTAGTTTTTACATTCTTCCTGTTCAGGAATCTAGTTATTATTGTAATTTCATTCTATTTATATGGAATTATAATGTTACATAATCAATTGCATACGCTGCAAAAAGGTGAAGTAGATTTGAAGTATTTTTGAGGTTTGAATTGATGTAAAACATTGCTTTTGTTCATCTAAAGTCAAATTTTGCGAGTTGAATAAAACTAGTTAAATTGCTCCTTACCACAAAGTATTTATTTATTTTTTTTTAAACAGATTATTTCAGTGTAGCTAGTTACATAAATTACTTTTACATTCCATGTACATTCTGTATCAACAGGTGCTCTGGACTTCTGACTCCTTTGTTGTTTGATGATAAGAATTGAAATATAGCAAAAAATGTAAATGATATTTTTTCTTTCCACAAAAGGCTGCAGACACAACAACTGTATCAGATTCAAATGATCTAAGCTTCTACTCACAAACGCAAACATGGTGTTGACTGAAAGTTCAGAAGTTGCAGTTTATACGGAATTTCTCCGTTGGTTTCAGTGAGCTATGAGTGAGAAATGATTTACACCAAATTACACCATGCTCTTATCTCCAGCGATAACTGCAACTTCCATAGATTAAACTGACCATTCGCAAGGACAAAAAGAAAGTGTATCTACACCTTTTTTGCTCTGTTGGCCACAATTCTTCTCCAGCCAAGAGATGAACCTTCAGCAGCTAATTGAATCACTTTCCCTTTTTGACCCCCCAGGCTCTCCATACCGAGATAAGATCACCATAGCGATCCTGCAGCTGCAGGAGGAGGGGAAGCTGCACATGATGAAGGAGAAGTGGTGGAGAGGGAACGGCTGCCCAGAAGAAGAGAGTAAAGAGGCCAGTGCCCTGGGTGTGCAGAACATCGGAGGAATCTTCATCGTTCTGGCCGCCGGACTTGTCCTCTCTGTCTTTGTGGCAGTGGGGGAGTTTCTCTATAAGTCCAAACAAAACGCACAACTCGAAAAGGTAAAGAAACATTTTCAAATTTCTGGACTGCATTGAAAATGTGCCAGTTGTTTTGTACGATGAACTGCAGTCATACTTTCCAACACAGCGCTTTCAGCTTGCTCCATACCTTTTTTTGTTTTGATGGTTTGCTCTATTGTTTTATTGGTGGGTTCTTCACAAGGTTGGTTAGGTGCACTGAAGGTAATGCCTGAATTTAGTCTACCAGTTTATGTATGTATCTAGTGGTTAGCTCCCCACATATGAACATATTTTGTTTGGTAATAGCCATCCACTCAAATGACCTATCCAGAACTAACAGAACTTCATTGCGTAGGGAAACATACAAGCATAATCTTAAGGAAATCTGTAACATCTGGGCATCAGAATTAAAAAAGTGAAATGCATTTCATCGATAATATTTTACAGACATTGCCAGCTGGAGAGCAAGCAGCTCTCCTTGATGTATGTCTCTGAAGACAGAGGGGCTTTGGTTCATTTGCTCTGATGGCCGCCATGGTTTACAGCATGTCTCACCTCTACAGCCCCGTCTCACTCTCCCCTTTCCACCTCATTCATTCTCCCTCATTTTATCCTGAGTGAACGGTATAAGTGGAGATACAAAGATTTGTGCTGTTTGTTGAGAGATTTGGAATACAATCAGCAACAGCAGTGTGAATGCTTATTGTTCACGCCATAAATGCTCATGCACAATGTTTTCATGCACTTAACTTTTAATTTCAGTGCTGTCAGCGGTAGCTCTCCTTTTAATTTTATCATTTAAGCATTTTCCAACTTTGTTCAAGGGAAATATATAATTGTTTATAATTATACAAATAATACAAATAAATGCGGTATTCCCAAAATAACGACTCTATCTCTGAATCATGAACTCATTTTTTGCAACCAAACACAGTTTTCATGTACCTATTTGCATTGAACATGCTGCAGTGTGACTAAAGATTAACAATTAACAAGTCTTTAACACGGATTTCAAGATAGACATCTCCAACATTTGCCAGTTTTCAGCTGAACAGATATTTTCCCACTTCAATTGACCTGCCAACCATGTAACAACATGAAAAAACATGATTGTGTCCTCAGCTTTTCTTGTTCTACCTTAGTGAAAGCTTCGACCTCCCCTGTGACAGTTGAGTTGTGAGTCCCACATGTGTGCCCCCACTTAGCCCCTCTCTGTGGGGCTCTGGCTTTAAGAGCCATCTCCTGCACCCTCCATCGATCTCTGCGAGTGGTTTTGTTTGTTCGCTGAAAGCCACCATATCGATGTTTCGGGGTATCCTGTTGCGAGGTGTTGCTGTGCAGCGTAGTCCTTGGTTACAATTACATGAAGACGTGAAACCGCTGGACAGTGGTAAAGGACAGCACTGACAAATAGTCATCAGCTATTAAAGAACTAGAAAATACAGCCGAAGGCAGAGGCTGCAGAAAGTGATACGTGTCGTGAGGAGAGGATAGCGACTCTGTGACCTAGTAGCTTTTAAACACACTTTACCATTTGCCATAGAACAGGCCATGGTCAGTGTAGCCGCAAGCTGCCAGCACAGCCTGGAGAGCATTTAGATGAATATGAAAATATGTGTGAGTGAGAGTGATGGTGAGAGCGATTATGCAAAAAATGTGTTGAACAGGAGGTAACAGGTCCACACAAAGCCTCTCTGTTAGTGCTGTGCTGTGCTTTTCACACCATAGTGAGCTACAGAAAATATAAAATGTGACAGCACAACATCTCTTCACAAGAAATTCTAGTCAAACAACAACTCCGCAGCTCGGTTTATAAGTAAAAGTGTGAATATTGCTGACCCACTTGACTTATCCATGCTCCGCGCACAAATGCATTCTTTCATAGCAATTGTGGCAGGGTTGGACGAGCTTTCACAGATGTTGGCAAAAATTCCATTTAAGCTAATAAATTTAGATCCGCTACATAACATCGATTTTTCAGTTTAGAGTGCTCTTTTACTGAGATAGACTGTGCTATTGTAGCAGGTTAAAACCAGTCAGGTTTCAAGAAAAACATAAAATTTGCCACCATGCTAAAATGTAAAACTACACCTGATTAATAATAACAGCATGTCCTTTCACAGGCACACAGAAAATAGTGTTGCATGCAAAATTTGAACACCTCTGGTTAAATGACATGTTTTGTTGATTTAGGTGAAAATCAGTTAACACATCCTCTACACAGAATAACAAATATGCATTTTTGGTGTTCAGTTTCTATTTATGTGCTAAGTTTAACATATTGAAAGAATAAAAAAGTTTGCACAGACCACATTTTATGATTTCAACAAATAAACAGTAATTGTACATTGAATTGAATATCATTTGACATCAATAACACATTCTAAATTTGTGGAGTTTTGTACTGCGATTTCTCACTAGATTAAATGGGATTTTTGCCGACACACTGTTGTCCTCTCTATGGATGCTACAAAAGAGCGCATTTGAGGGTTAAGCTTAAATTGGTCAATAGTAACTAGCATTGGTTAAAATCAAGTGATTTCCAAAATAATCAGTATAGTTAATGAAACATAAGTGGAACTTCTGAATAATGTATCCTTTTGGTGAAAACACCTGAACATTTCACACTCATAAAGTTATTTTCAAAATGCTTGCTTCTCTCCATGGCCACTGTGCATCTCTGCAGTGCTGACCTCTGTTTATGATACACACATTCACACGTCAATAAATGTGTTACAACAATTATGGCATTTTTTCTTGCTCCTCTTTTTATGCATTTTTTGCCTCCATGCTTTTCTCTCTCATCTTCCTCCTTTCTGCCACCCACTCGTTTTCTCCCGCTGAGTGTGTGCTCACTGCACTCTGAACTGCTGAAGAGTAAACCTCTCTCCTGAGAGTCAGGGACAACCAGCCGAGTGTGAAGAAGTGAAGAACCTCCTGCTAACACACATGCACACACACACACAAATATACACGTATGCATTGCACAATAGAGGTCTACTACCCGACCCGAGCCCGACGGGCCCCGACAAAACATCAGGTTTCACTCTGGGCTCGGAAAGATTTTTCACGTACAGCATCATTTGAATGCAGCAATGGTCCTTTACATTGTGTAAATTTGCATGATGGATGGACCAACAGAAAAGCTCCAAAATTTCTTGGAATAAAATTTCATTACTTATGTTGAAAATTAAGAACATTTTTGTTTTTCCCTGTAAAGATACTTTGGAGATACAGGTTTTGTTACAGGATTATGCCTATGTAAAAGACATAGTCTCCTACATTTTTTTTTCTCTCTCTCTCAACGTTATAGTCTATAGCTGCATTCGAAATAGGTCCAGAGTTTGAGGAGTGGGTGAATGTGCCCCTGATTGACATCATGGATGATAAGAATGATGGGTTGGTGGAAAAGTCACAGTGGATCTTTCCCCTTGCTTTAGCACTGGGACTTTAGAGAGGAACTTTAGCACTGTGGGACTAACAGCTGATCAGAGGAGAGTGGATGCTGTTCTCTGCCAGGTACAATCAGCAATTCCACAAAAATATACTTCTAGTACATAATTTTAGTGCATTAGAGGTGAGTAAAATACCAGTTTATCTCAGCCTGGCATTTTCTGTCAACAAGTGCAATGGCTTAGTAACTAAGCAAAACTCTGTACCATGCACGAGTTTGAGTCAGGTTCGGGTTTCAAAATTTACCAGACCAGGGCCTAGTTAGGTCTGATTTCCAAGTTGGGGGTACAATTTGAGTTCAGGCTTTAATGTCATGCCCGTGCAGACCTCTAGCGCACACTCATGTACAAATATAACAGAGATGCCACTCCCACTGTTCTAAGATGTGCTGCTTTGTTGATTCACCCAGCTTCCATCTCAAATAATTTTCTAATGATCTCACACAGTCACCTGCAAAAGTTTGAACACCCCCAGTCAAATGTTTTGTTGATTTTCTAAGTGAAATTAAGTTAACACATCTTCTACTGGGGACAAACTTAAAGGTGGCATTTTAGAGCACAATTTTTCTTTATTTGATGAGTTTAACAAAAAAAAAAAATCTTAAAACATAAAATGTGCTATAACAACTTTTGTACAGACCACATTTAGCATTTTATTGTTTTTTCCAACATGCTAAATTCATCAAATAAACAGTAATAGTGCGTTAGAATGTACATAAGTATGTTCTCTGTAGAAGCTGTGCATGTTATTTTCACTTGTACGTAAAGTATTATTTTATCGAGGGTGCCCAAACTTTTGCATGTGACTGCAGTTGTTAGGATATCAGGTCATGGGGCACTTATTGAACTTCATCTATTCTTCATTTAGCAATTTGTTTTTGGTCACTATCATGCTAGGTTTTACATAACATGCATAATTCATGGGCTGTAGCTTGTTGCTGTAAACACAGGAGGCCCCTTAACTATCTCAAGTGATGTTTTCATTACGACCAGGATTAATAGTGCTGGCACGAATCAATTTTGTGATACCTTTTTACAGTACATCAACACGAACAGAATATCAACAAGTGCTTTCAGAATCATTTTACTTTCCAGAAAATGTTTGTGGTTCCCTTTAGTCATCAATGAACACGTCTCATCTGAGCTGCTCTGAAAAGCCTCTTTCATTACCCAGCTCAAGCCTGGCTGATATAACAGCCTCATCATTCTTTGTTCCTAAAATATAGTCTATCAATCACGAGTCAAGCTAGAGCACAAAGAAAAAGAACAACAGAGCATTCATCTTATTCATACGTGGGCAAAAAATGATTGAAAGGCAGTTTAAGTGATCTGCGGTGTAGATGTTATACGAGTGTAATATGTAAATTGTGCAGGTGTACAATTCTCAAAACCAGTGAAAGCTGTAAAGGCACAGTGCAAAACAGCATGGTGTCAGAGTCATTTTTAGAGTCACTGTCAAATACGAGGCCTGTCTTGTATGTACTTATGTAAATATTAGAGTCTAAAATAGGATAAAACCTAATGTTCATGTGTTATTTAGTCAGTTAATGAGTGCTCCATCAGCAACAGTAGTGGAGGCCAGCGCTGAGCAGAAGGCTGTAGTTGGGTAAGAACAAGTGAATGACTGAAATTCATAACCAGTGAGCACCATGCATCATGTTCACCTTGATCACACAAGTGTCTCCGTTAAAAAATGTTATAAATATTGTATGACTACTGCCCCATTTTACTCAAGATAACCCGGCCTGAAAGGTCAAATTAGACGAGGGGAAAAAAAAAATATCCAGTAAGCTCTAATTTGATGTGAACGGCTCTTATGATTTAGTAACTATAATAAATAATTCAGTAACTACCATGAAACTAACATATAAGTTGTAAAAGTAAAGACTGAAGTGTTGGCACACATACAAGTCCCAATGGTTTTATGGATTTAAAGGAGAATTTCAGCATTTTTTCAAAATGTCTGCACAATTCAGTCATTGAGATGTGAGTGATTTGTCGTGAAATAATTTACTGCAGAGAAATTTACTGACTCAGATTTCTTTACAGTGCTGGTGATAGGAACCAGGAGTCGCAACGTCTGCAACACAAACATAGCCTTTTTTTTGTTTACTATCTAAAACCACCAGTGAACCTACACGTTTTCCGAGTTTTTATATGTAATGTTGATGATGGTTGCATAGGGTAAAGCTGAAAGTTTATAGTTTTCTTTGGAGACTAAAAATATTTCAGGCCAAAGTCTTCTCTCAAATATATCGTAAAACAAAGTCTTGGGCATCAGGCAGCGCATTCATTTAATGTAATGGCTTTCTGTGAGGTACCTTTTAAAAGCATTAAACACCTTTGACGTCTGGTTTCTGTCACCGCCACTGTGAACAATTCTGACTTGGTAAGTTTTATTAGAATGGCATATTTCACAACAAAGCACTCTTTGTTTGACTTTGTTTACATGTTAAAGAGTTAATGATGCTAAAATGTAAATAATTAGCTCCTTTTAAACAACAGTTTTTACAAGATCATTTAAAATAAAACTAAAAATTATTTAACGTTTATCCTGATCCTTTTTCAATGTATTTACTTAACAAAATAACATGATCATGGATCTGCCATCAGGGTTGGACTAGAAAATTACCACTCTTACAGTTGTATGCAACTTTGATCTGGTCACATTGCATGTTTTGTTGATTTTCTAAGTAAAAAATCAGTTAACTCTGCAAGTTCCTCTAGACAGAACAGTTTACATTTTATTTTTTCAACCTAATAAATTCAGCAAATAAACAGTAATTGTGCATTAAACTATGTAGAACCTCTGGAGAACATGCTACTTATTTTCACTTAGAAAATCAACAAAATCCAAACTTTTGCATATGACTGTACCTTTTACCCAACTGTTGTTTGTTCACTAGCATAAATCCTATATACAACTGCCTGAACTCTGCATAAAAATCTGAATAAGCCAGAAGAAACTAAAACAACAGGAAAGAAAAGCAGTTGAACATACAGTAGCAGTGTATATCAATTATTTATCAGGGGACATTTGCAGGAATAGCAATCACATTTCTCTTTGTCTCCGTGTTGAATGCAGCACTTGCAAATGCCACAGTGTCTTTGGGAGAAAGAAACGTGAGGAGGAGGGAGAGGAGAGGCAGCAGCTTAATTGGCCATGCAGCTACATGGGATTTGAGTCTGAGGAAATGTAATATGCATCAATAAGTCATGCTGCTGCAGCGGCCTGGCAGGAAAAGGCAGGGTGAAATCTGCCATAGAGAAATCGCTTTAGTTATGATGCGCTGGGTGTGCATCCAGATGGACGGCGGCATTGAGTCATCGCTTCCCTCCTCCTTCGTGCCTCCTCCTTTTCCAGCCCAGCATTCTACATCCACTCCCCTGCATGACACTTCAGCCTCCAACACCAACCCCCACCCCCTCACTCACTTCCAGCACAACACTCATCTACTCTCCTTCACCTCTATACTGTCTCCATCCTGACGTATGCAAGCTCTTCTCCGTCAGCGCGTTCAGGTTGAGGCAGCGGATATGTGTTGAACATGTGAAGGAACAGCTGATCAGCTGTCTTTTCTTTCTCCTGCCACACAGAGGTCCTTCTGCAGTGCCATGGTGGAGGAGTTGCGAGTGTCCCTCAAGTGCCAGCGCCGCCTCAAACATAAGCCTCAACCTCCCGTCATGGTCAAAACAGAGGAAGTCATCAACATGCACACCTTCAATGACCGGAGACTGCCAGGCAAAGAGACCATGGCTTAAAGTAGACACTTGCTCTCTCTTTCTTGAACCGGAGGAGGGGGGGGGAGAGCGGTAGGGCAGGGTGATAGCTACATTTGTACATGGGTGGGGGGTGGGGGGTGAGAGATTAGGAACGTGAGTTGCTCAGAGTGTTAAATGTCATCGTTGTTTCAAAAATAATTAGTTATTGCAGATAAAAAGAAACTGAGACAATATTTCCTGTGGAAATAACTTGATTCTGGGCAAAATTAAAGTGAGTTACCTCATCACTCCTGCCACCAGGGCAAGGACTGAGTGGTACTGGTGTTCAGGATAACTTCTGAAGGAAAATCCAGAAACAGAGGAGTAGGATCAACCATGTGTGGCTGGAGTTGGACTGTCCCTTCATTATGTTCACATTAGTTTAGGTTTGTGAATCTGTAATCTCTTTGGGCAACTCGACCATTCTCTGTCTAGAGGCCATATAGAGAATAGTGGAGTCTGTTAAAGAGACCTAAAAGACTCATGTAGACAAATATACAACAGGGGGAAGTTCTGTATGATGACATGGATAAAATAGTATATTATTTTAAGATGTATATTTGTGCTGAAAAAAAGTCATGATCAATCCCAGTCAAGAGCAACCAAAACCTAACTGATTCAAAAGCTTTGAAATATGTTCAGAGCCACAGTAAAATGACTCCGTAATAAAGGCATTTCTTACTCTGAATCCAAGCTGGTGAAAGAATAGTAGGAGATGCATCATGCGTCAGGCAATAAATTACTTAATTTGCTTGCATCTCAAATCACTACCACTTCCATGACATAAAATAGGAAGAGAGAAAAAAAAATAATTTGTGCAAATGTGTTGGCAAAGAGAAAGTATATCATGATTAGCTAGTTTTGTCTCAGATGCGCGCTGGTAGAGTAATACAGAATCACTAAAACAAGACGTGCCTATTATTGGCCCCTGAAGAACCTCGGGATGCTCTTCATCGCCGCTGCAAAGTATAAGTCAGCATTGGTAACTCAAAAACAAAACTCACAACGCTATATTTATTCAAGTATTTATTATTTTATTTATTTATTTTTATTTTTTAAGATTTTGATGGACTGATTCATCATAGCTACGAACATACATATTAATTACACTCCTGTGCATATTTACCTTTTTTAACACACAATCTGGTTCATTTAAATGTCAAGGTTCTTGTTTGTACTTTTTTGTGAATTTAATTTCAGAAACAGGACTCCTCACAAACTTGTGCAAATGCAAAATTTATATAAAAAAGTGTTTTTGTATGCAGAAAAAAAAATCAAAATTTTGTAATAATTTTTATCAACACAAGATTGACCATGGGCATCTTTCTCTTCTTCTGGTGGATGGAATGCCCTTTGGAGTCGCCAATCCAGAGTGTAAAGTTGTGGGGGCCCTGGGACCACTGTGTGTCCACATGGACCAGCCTCATTAGACTACACAAACACACACCCAGGACCATATCACCTGGCCTCTGTGAAGAGGACACAGAGCCAGTGTCCATGATACATGGCCTCCATGGACAGGGGACGCCTTTTAGGTCCACACAAAGGGAAGAGTGCTAAGCATGCCAGGCAGTGTTGAAGTGACACACACATTTTGGACAGATCCTATTTTTATCATGTAAATGAATCATATTTAAAGAAAGATATTTTTACTTGGGGTAAACGATGATAGTAACACTAATAATGATGATACAAAATATATACATATACATACAAAGAGGTAAACGGTGAGGACGACCACTGTTGCTTCTCATTCTACACCCCTGATTTTCAATAGACTGCTAGTACTCAGTGCAGAGAACATGTGTGTAAATGGTTTAAGATGGATAAGATGTATTTAAAGAATTTAAAGATGCTAAACTAATTTTGACCATGTTGTGAAAACAAAATCAATTGTGCACACAATTACTGTCTGAATTTGATGCACAAGTTTAAAGAAAACCATTAAAAAGTTCAACATACTTGCCTCTTAGCCTCTGTCATTTCCTTAGATATTTGCAGCCACAGTTGAAGCACATAGCAGACCCATGAACAAACATTTTGGGAGTCAAAGAGAAAAAAGGGAACTCTTATACAGCAAGTTGATCATGTTTCAAAGGAAGCAAACTGTTAGCCCGAAGATGCTCTATTTTCAGAAGCCTAAAATAACACCATTACATGTCGATATAAAGATTTCCTGTCAGGGAAACAATTTAGAAAGCTCCTGTTTACAAGATTTAGAATGATCAAAGTGAGTTGTAACTTTCTTGAAGAAATTTCCTTAAAAACAAGGTTTAACCTGTTAAGGTAACTCTTTCTATGAATGCCAGATTTATAAGAATCTAAGAACATATGCATAACCTGTATTCATAGGGCATTTTAAACATGCCTTATGAGTGCATGTTATAAACATGTATAGTATGTATGGTAATGCATTTTTCCTAAGTATTTATTGCGTGCATTATCATTCAAAGCCATGTTTAACTAATAAACCAGTGTAGTCCATAACTTAAGCTGAGCCATGCCATGATTTCTTATAACAATTTAGCAATTATACAGGAATGGAATAATACCTTATAGTCATTTTAATGTATTATAACATCTTTTTGCTTCCTATAACAACAGAATTGCTATACTTTCTGAGTAATGTGTATATATATATATATATATATATATATATAGAGAGAGAGAGAGAGAGAGAGAGAGAGAGAGTGATCCCATTATTAGAATTTACATTTATAAAATCAGAGCCGCACCATTTCCAGCATTTTACTACTAACGCAAACTGTACTAAAACTAAAGCTTTTTTAGTTTTACATTACAGCAAGCCAACTATTTATAAGGGCCCCATCCAAGACTCCCTCTGAGATTACACTTGCACAATGTTACTGTTAAATGAAGGCAATCAGAGTGAATAACAAGCGACTACCTATGACAATGCTAATTTCCAGTAGTGCCTCAGTGGGAATGTTATTAATCTGCCCACTAAACGCTCCCTGTGTAAGAATGTGGTTTAATTTAACAACCAGCTTGGCAGACAGCTAATAGGCTAACAATTTCCTGCAATAATATTATGAGACTTTATACAATGTAAAGATTCAAATGTCAGTATTTAAACTAGTGCTGAAACAGGTGGTATTAAACTTAATGTGGAGAAGGTAATGTACAGAACTGTTAGCTTAGATTTAATTTACCATTGCAAACTGAATGAAGGCACTAATGTAAATTAGCATTATCATAGTGGTGATAATTGCATCATAGTTGTGATAAACAAAGAGTGATAATAACAGAGTTAATGATAATGGCTCTCTAATAGACTTTCACTTTCCACTGCCTTCACCCCACAACAGCTTCATGTTCAGTATGATGTCAGAGAGGGTCTTAAGAGAGGGGCCTGATATGTACTTGAGTTGCTCCAATGTAATGTAATTTTTAAAGTGAGAGTGATGATTAAGGAAAAGTGCATTGTTTTAATAAACCTGAGCTAGACAAATAATTTGAGGCGGGCTTGAGCCACAAAAGGGCTACATGTAACAACGTCCGTGATGAAAAATAAAATATTGGAAACTCCATAGGTTAAATAAACTTTCTTTTAGTCTAAAACACGTCTTACTTTATTTAGAGCTCATGAACACAACTTACAAGTACTTATAAAAGGGTTGTAATAACATGTAATAATCTACACTCATGGTGACAAGTATATAAGTCCTGTCACTTTACTTGAAGCTTTCAAAGACGTTACATTAAAAATGACTACAAGCTTTAATTCCGTTTCAGACAAGTATAACTGATAAGTTATAAGTGTGTGACAAGTTAGTTATAGTTATAACACACTATTCATAGTGAGTTTCTTTGATACTGACATTGTGTTGTGAATACTACTTGTTAATTTATAATGTATGACTATAAAAGGTAATGCATTTTTACTAATAATTATATCTATATATATTTTAATGGTTTACAGATGAGTCACACCATGTTTTGAATGTGTTCATAGACTCTTATAGACAAGGAATTCACAGAAAATGTTGCCTATGTTATTAGCAACTCTTACAGTCAACATTTTTGGCTCTTAAAGAGACATGATCAGTTTGTACTCCCCTGTGGTGAGATGCATGCATCTGTGATACGTCAGAGTTGAGTAAGGTGAAATCTAGAGGAGGTGCCTAAGAGAAACAGGGCTTGTGGAACCTAAACTGAGCCATGAGCTCTTTTCCTGGCTCTGAGCTTGGCTGAAACAGATGTAGGAACAATGGCAGGGGAAATGAGATACAATTATGGTACAAGCTGACCTAAAGGGCACTTGTGCAGTCTAAAGGCAAAACAGCAGGGGGGTCTATGTTCCTGATACATACTTATATATCAGGGTGACCGGCCACTGTCGCTGGCAATGTCATAATCACCATACTTTTCACTAGAAAAGTATGTGCAAAAATATTAAATTACAAGTAATGTTAAAGTTGTGCGGTTAGATTCTGTCTAAAACAGTCTATACCTGCCACGGTGGCAAGTTATCAAGGACATCTCCAATGACCTCTGACCAGTTAATGATTCAGCTGAAAATGTGATCAATTAGTTTAAGGGCATGGCCTTATCCTAACCCTGAATTATATCTCAACACCTCCACTGTTGTAGAGGATTAAGTCATTTTCAGGTATGCATAGCATGCATTATGTCCACAGGGAATGAACTTGAAAGTAACTTATTTTAAATAATTGCATAACTACCCTAATTGCATACAGAAAAGAGATTTGACTAAACATTTCATTATAATTGCAAGAAACATGTATTTACAGAAAGTATGGGAAAGTGTGGTACAGCCTAACATTTTGCATTTGTTTGGTAATTTTAAAAGTATCTGAGCAAAATTAGTGCTTTTTTACTTTTAAATTTTATCTATTTAATATATTTTATTTACATACCAACTATGATGAATGTTGGTATCTGCTTGAAAGTGCATAAAAACTTTCAAAAATGTGCTGTGTGCTATATGGACTTCTCTTATTTATTTTAGGAGGATTAGTTTTAACACTGCACTACAACTAACCCCGTCATGTAGAAGCTGTACTATAGCCTGGTTAGTTCCAAGAGGAAGATTGAAATAATACAGGCATGAATTCTGTGACTTTCAATGAAAAAAGTTACTTTTATAGAATAAAAACCACTCATGGTGAATCTCCAAAAACACCTGTCAAAATTCACAGTTGACATTGCATTTTGCCCTAAATTAGTTTGTGTCCTGCTCTCCCCTTCTGAGCTGAGACCATTTCATTAGACACAGAGTTAACAGACTTATTTCTCCAAACGCTTCCACAAAAATATCTTGGTTTGGCTTGGAATTTTGTGTGTACACATTTTTCTGTCACAAGACAACCAGCTGATTATTTTATTTATTTAGTCTTTTTTTTTCCCCAGCCGGAAAATGCATTCTGTGGAGAAATCATTCTTATCAGGTCTGTGAATCCTCAAGGCTAATGCTAGCATTGTGTAGATCATTAGAATCTAGCCCATGGTGTTTTTCTGAGATATTGTGTGTGTGTGTGTGTGTGTGTGTGTGTGTGTGTGTGTGTGTGTGCGTGTGTGGTCCTTCAGCCCATTCTCAGCAATTCCATTATCAGATTGACGTTTTCAAACGAGGTGCTCTGCTTAGTTGGCCCCTAATCTTCCCACCTGGGCAAGAGGGGATGGGGGGTTAGATAACGAACCTATATGCCGGATATCATTAATTGGCTAATTATCATGGCTTGTGGGGAGTAGAAATGATCTAGAGATGGGAGCTTTGTCCCTTATTATTCCCTTCATCTTGCAGCCCATTCCTCTTTATCAATCAACACTTTTAATGAAGACCTAAAGGGACACTGCTGCGTCGACTGAGATAGGCCTGTCCTTGAGAATAATGGTTATATCAGGTCTTCTAAATGTGCTACAATTGAGAAAAAAAATATATTTTTGTCACAAAAGCAAACGTAAAAGCTCTATAGACCTGATACTCCTTATATTGCTCTACTGACTGAGATGGGAAGGGGAAGCTTGGGATTTTATGCTAAATCATCCACATCTGAAACCCTCCACATTCTTTTTAGATGCAGTGCTAAAAGTGAAATCCTGAAGACTCATGTACCAAAAGCAATACCGTCATACAATGTGTTACAGTGTGATGTGATGAAACCTCAAGCTTTTTCCTCTCAGAAAAAAAGACAAAAATAAGACAGGCAGAAATAAAAGACCGACCCAAGTGAAATCGTGTTGAGACTGTTCTGATGCTGCAGAACAGAAGTATAAAAATGCACCGGGTAAAAAGAAAGACACACATTTCCTAGCTGTAAAGAACATCAACAACCCAAAGCCACTTGAAGCTAAAGTTGTGAAAAGAGGAACTGGGGGAAAAAAAAACGCTGATTCCCTGCTGAATCCTGAGACACGGGCGCTACAGACATAATCCCAAATTACACTTGAGGTAGGTCCACCCAAACCCTGTGGGGCGTAACAGATTAGGCTAAACCTGGTCCACACAAACCTAATGGGCCATGACCAGATTACGTACAGCTGAGTGCCACTTCTACTGCTCAAACAGAAAGGTGAGAAGAAAGGAGAGTGAAGAAGGGACAGAAAAGGAAGAAGGGGTGAGAGAGAGAGAGAGAGAAATGTCAGACATTGTAGGAGATCTCAGATAAGTGATTATACAGTTTTTGAAAACACTTCTACACCAGAGGGCCAGTGATATGTTATCTTATCAAACTATAAAAGTAAACATTATAAGAAGCGAAGGAATATCTGTTACACTGAATCAAGGCTATAAAATATTTCAGTGTCAAATTCTGCTACTTAGTACAGCAGGCAACTGGAAAAACTGAATCTCTTAACATATTTAACCTATTTTATATACATATTCTGATAATATATGTGTGGTGTGGGTGTGTGTGTGAGAAACACACACATCCAAACATGTAAATATAGCCACCCTTACAGAAAAAACACATGAA